TTGGACGCAGCCGCGAGGCCTTGTCCGCGATCAGCAACCACGTAATGATGCACGTGTACGACTGCTTCCATCACTTGCTCGAGTGGGACGAAGCTCGACTTGACGCCGACTGGATGCAACACTGTTCGGCCGCTATCCATGCTCAAGGGGCTCCCCTTACAACTTGCATCGGCTTCATTGATGGCACTGTGCGTGGCATTTGCCGCCCAGGACGGGCAGTACAGAGGGCCGTATACAACGGACACAAGGTATCTACACGATTTTATAGCAAGGCGCTAACATGTCGCCTACCGTAGCGAAAGCATGCACTGAAGTATCAAGCTGTGACGGCCCCCGATGGCATTATCGTGCACCTTCATGGACCCGAGCCTGGCTCTCGCCATGACGCCTACTTACTAGCACAGAGCAAGCTTGTCGAGAAGCTCCAAAACAAGCTACGTGTAGGCGACACCCGATACGTTATCTACGGAGATCCCGCCTACGGGATCAATGATGTGATTGTGTCGGGCTTCAAACGCGCCAACCTTGATGAGGCTGAGGCCGAATTCAATAAGCGCATGAGCTCGGTCCGAGTAAGCGTTGAACGCTGTCGTTCTTGAAGGCCGTCATAAGGTCGTCAAAGCGCCGGTGACCGTGACGAGGTCACCATAGATCACACGCATGTGCTCGGCGACCTCTTCCCAGCGCTTTGCGACCTGACCGTACTGGCAATCGTATGGGCTCACAAACATGACTTCTTTGAGGAGATCCACGTCCGAGGCCACGGTGAAGCGAAACGCCTTCTTCGTCGACTGTGGAGCCTCCTCGCTCATACTCAGAGCAAGTAAAAAAATGAGTGGCGACCCGGAAAAACGGTTCAGGATTGAGGGGGTCCCATCGTACATTTTTTCGGTGGAATTCATCCGACGGGCGCATGCGACATGTGACTTCTAGCTCCATTCATGAAATTCACGCTTGCAAAATCACTCTAATGACCACCTTTCAACCTTGAACAATGACAAATTTGCAATTCGTAGCGTTTTCAGATGCTAACGACAATCGTGGCGACGATCAGTGCGTCGACCGAACGCGTCGAATGAATTTGTCCGTACCCCCTGGCAGTATGCTGTTCACAAATGGGGCGCGTTTGGGATCGATGGGCAACACCTGAACGTGCAAGAACCACAGCTGATCGCGGAGCGCAACAAACTGCCGACTCTCGAGCGGTTGGTGAGAAGCATGATGACGTGGCGCCACCATACGCTGTGCTGCAAAAGTAGGTGGTTAATTATCAGCATTGTTAACGCGCAGAGACACATCGTTAGACCAGTGTATGCTCCGCCAACAGCCTCATTTGTCTCCAACGCAACGCCGTGTATAAACGTCAGCGTCGCTAAGGGTTAATGCTTTGAGCAACACGTTGCGCGCTTTGAGTAGATGGTGGACCACATTCGATCTCTATAGTTTGCTCCGAGCTGTGAAGTTCATACCAAAGCCAACGTCGTCTCTAGACTATGCTAACGTCATTGTAATTCCGTCAGCAAATGTCAAACATCGTGCATCTCGCCTACCGGTAAGACCCGCTGCGAGATCAGCACACCAGCATCATCTATGGTGCGGTATGAGCTCTGTTAAATATATAAATAATATTATTGTTAAATAGTGCGCTACCACAAAGACTCGGTCGTTGAGGCACTGCCTGAAATGACGCCTCACGATCAAGAGCGAGGCGTGTGCCAGAGCGAGTTTGCGCTCCGACGCGCAAGTCGCCCAAGATCAAGCTACAAAGGACGTCGTACGTCTCTCCCAGCCAAGAGGCAACTTGTCGATGCGCTGCCGTCAACGTCGCGGATGGCGCTGGTTCTCGTGCTGAGAACGATGCGGTACTGGAAGTGTAGCAACACAAATAGCCTCGTAAGCAACAAAATCATCCGTGTTCGATGGCGTCTTCATCGACTTAGAGCTCGTCGTGGCGTGCCGACGCCCCTAGAACCGATTGCAGGTGGCGCACATAATCTGGCGAGCACGCGGCAGGCGTTGCAAAGCCGATGCTGTAGACGCACACGGACCTTTCTTCGACAAACTTGACGTAGTTGGTCGATGCACACTCCATCTGCATGTGCACGCGCCGGGGCGCTTCGCCGCAGCGCTCGCCGTGGTCGTACATCTGGACGCGGATGGGCGACGGGTCGGCCTCCAGCGGCGCCGGTGCCTCGTCATACAGCGCATGCGGCAAGCCCACATGCGTTGGTCGTACGTCGGTCGTCCAGTTGGCCCACACACCGAGCAAGATCGGGCGTTGCTCTTCGCGCTCTGTGGGCGGCGTGATCGGCGTCTCGCCCGCCTGCGCTTGCTTCTACATAGATGAAATTGCAGCGTATAGGCAGATGCCGGCATGCAATAATACCTGTGCGAGCCGCCACTCGTGATACGCAGGCTCGGTCTGCGTGACATTGAGGAACGGGCAGACAACCATGACGTACGTCCTGGCGACCGTGTTGGACGTCCCGCCCTTGAGCTCTTTTTCGTTCACAGTATACTCAAAGCACTGCCCGACGAGTGATGCGTACGCGTCGTGGTCGCCAAAGTCGGTCGCCAGGAGGTTCCCGTGCACGTACTGGTAGTACTGGGCTTTTTGTTGCACGTACTGTAGGTATCGGAACTGCTGCTGGTCCTATGCATTCGATCGTACATGGGATGTTTGGCGCCAAGGATACCTCGTGGGTCGGCTTGGCGTTGGACGACTTGAAGTGCGTCTGTATCGCATCCATCTCGGCCACTACCTCGTTGGCCATCGTCTCCCAGTGCGCCACGTCGGTTGCAAACTGGGCGCGGGCGGCGCCGGCACCGGCGACGAGAGCGGCCTTGGCGCGCACGCCCGCCGCAACGTCGGCGAGAACGGCCTCGAGGCGCTTGCGCACCGCATTTGCGTCCACGTCGCA